GCAGTCATGGACCACCTGCAAGTCCCGTTAGCCAACTGCCCTGACAAAGGTGTGCCCGCCGTCCACAATTGTCACAATTTTGGGCATAAAGTTAGATTCCCAGGCATGGGAGATGCGGCTGCCAGCCTCAAAGCTGTTGGAACTTAAGGGCACCCTTGACACCTGGGTACACCTAGTACAGCGCACCAAACAGGAATTGCTCTCGTTGGCAGGCTCTTTGTCATTTGCCGCCAAAATAGTACCGCCCTTTCTGCCAGCCAGTACACGTCTCTTGACAGGACCCAGCGCCTGAGCCAAGAGGCTCCAAACGATATAATCCCGGTGGCACGCTTGCATTGAGTCATGGAACGGCCGGTCACTACTGCTAGACCCATCCTGGTGCAAACAGACCGAGATGCAGCTGTTTACGCATGCTTCTGACCATGGCTATGGCTTGGTCTGTGACAAAGAATGGGCGTATGGCCAGTGGGAGGCACTCCACAAGGATCTGTCCATAGAATGGCGCCCTTATCTGTGTGACGCTAGGCAAACGACTGTGCAAGCGTCGACTATTAGTTCAATGTGACAACTAAGCGGTCTTGCCAATCTGGCGCACAGGAATTCTAGGTGCCCAGAGATCATGACACTTGTCAGGATTGCGTTGTTAGCGGCTGCCAAGCATAACATGGTTGTGTTTTCAGTACACATACGTGGTGTTGACAACGTCCTTGCTGACCGTTTGTCCCGGCTGCAGGTCGACAGCTTCCGGAAGCTACATCCCCAGGCGTCTCCATGTCGCTAGAAGCCCGGCAGCTGACATGACTACTGACCACACCATGGGCCTTATCCTTGCGGGAGTGGCAACAAGTACCGCCCGGTCGTATGCTGCCGGCGTGACAGCATACGAGAGATTACGCCAGCCTGCACCGTGTCGCGCCATACCCCATTCAGGCCACCCACCTACTGGATTTCCTACCATACCGTAAAGTCTTGTATAAAAGCCGCTCTCGAATAGAAGCCGCGATTTTGGGCCCATCAAATCACGCATAAGTCTGAAGTTAGTGTTGCCGTACATAGAAATACCTGTCTTGTATAGAAGCCTGTCTGATATAGAAGCCTGCAAAATTTCACCAAGAATGTCATAGAAGCCGCGACTTTTATACAAGACTACGGTACATGTCATCCAAGAGCCTGCTGGTAAATATCAAGGTCTACCTCCATGTCCTCCGGCATTACTGCGTGGTCAACCACCTGTCGTTGTCCCCGTTCCAGGACGGGCGACTGGACCTGCTGCTCCAGGGTATCGCCCGCAACCAGTGCACGAGCAGCCAGGTGCAGGAACGCCGTGCTGTCACAAAGCTACACCTCCGTGCAATCAAGGGTTTCCTGTCGCACACCGGTCTATCACCGGCCGACCAAGCCATGCTCTGGAGCGCTATCACACTCGCCTACTACGGGTTCCTGCGTTTCAGCGAGTACGCCTCCACCGACCCGCAGAAGATGTTGACGGGGGAACGCGTCTGCATCCGGGAAAACACAGTGAGGCTGGCTGTCCCGTTCTCCAAAACAATGCAACTGGGAGAGGGCAGCGATGTGACAGGCGGCGCCACCAACGATAAAGCCTGCCCGGTAGCCGCATTAGGGAAGTACGCACAGCTGCGCCCCAAAGTGGCGGGAGGGTATTTCCGCTACCAGTCTCGCCAGCCATTTCGCCCCTCGGACATGAACACCTTACTCCGCCGAGCTCTCCCTGGCCAGAAGATCTCCAGCTATAGCCTGCGTATCGGTGCAGCCACTGCCGCCAAAAGGAATAGCCTGCCACCATACGTCATCCAAAGGGCCGGCCGATGGTGGAGCAACGCTAACCTCTGGTACATCCGTCTGTCAGAATCGGACATGGAGCCAATCGCAAAGGCACTGGTGACAGCGTGAGTACATGCACCGCCTTCCTAGCACTATCAGCTGACTGAGTGACGGCACTGCCCTCTTGACACTATCTGCCGTATGAGTGACAGCACTGCCCCTCTAACACTACTCGCTATAGGTCGTGGTGACCACACTGCCCCCCTAAGCACTGCTGGTAGCAGGAGCGTCTGCACTGCCCTCCTAGCACTCCTCTCTGTATGAGTGCTCTTGCTCTCCCGTGCTGCTCCCTGCATAGTAAATGGCACCTGCCCTCTTGACACTATCTTCTGTAGACTCAAATTTATGTCCTTGAACGTCGCTGTACACCTGCATGTAGTTCCCATGTTTAGGTCAGCTAGATTGGGGCTCACGCCTCCCCAAGCAATCTCATTTTTGGGTGGCATTCACATGGAGTGGGTGGCTGCAAAGTACCCCGTAAGCCTTTGAGCTGACACCCAACTCCAGGTTACCAGCCCCTCTGAATTCGTCCTATCATGCAGATGTCCGGGCTTAACTCCGTTAGCAGCCTACTTCCACATCTGTCCTACCATGTGGCAGTGCAGTGTAAGCCTAACCTTGTTAGCGGTGCCATCCACATTCGTCCTACCATGTGGTGGCCTGGGTATAAGCCTAACCCCATTTCCCCCGCGTGAATTCCAGTCTAGCCTAAACCTTGTCTTCAATGTTGTGTGTGCAATGGGATGTTAACCCTGGGATGTCCTGCAATGGGATGTTAACAGGTAGCCCTTGGCAGATCATGCTGGCATAATTTCTGGCATAATCTTCGGATTTTGCCTAAAAATGATGCCCTGCCATAAATGGACTTTTGCGACCAGACAGTTAAGATAACCTTAAAATGCTGGCCGAAGATTTTTTGCTCCATGCATATTTAGGCATTTTAAAGGAAATAACCTGATGAATGTTTTTCCTTAGGGCCCGGGCCCACATGCACTTGAGAGTTGCGGATCCGCTGCAACGGTGTCATCATGAAACTGTGTGTATCATCATGAAACTGCGAGTAGCGGAACTTCCGCCGTGGCGGAAAGTTCAAATCGTCTACTCCAAAATGTTTGGTGCGTATACTCTCCTGCGGAAGTTCCGCTCCTGCGACACTCCGACATGGTGAGCGATTTGTGTTGTTCGATTTTATTTTCGATCATGACGTGGACACTTCGACTTGAGTCAGAACAGCTACGGCTGCAGTTGTACATGTATGTTGAAGTCAAGACTCATTTGACCAAGGGATGAAGAGAGATACGGAGCGATAGGTGGATAGCCGAGAAGCTGAAGCTGAAACCGACAGCTGCGGCATCGGCCAAAGACCAAATCCCGGACCCGTGGGCAGCCAAGCATGGCCATCATGTAAAACCACGCAGGGGGACCACTGTGATGTAGGTCTGGCAAGAGCGATACATGTACTATTATTACCAGTATCTGTTGCAGTTATCATTTGTTATCGTCGACGTGCTGCTCAACAAGTTCGTACTAGTATTCAGCAACAAAATGTCGACAACGTCTCGCCAATCGACCTCTACCAAACGGAAAATCCATTCTTTCAGATTATACAGAACAAAGACTCAAAGTCAACAATACCGGACCCATGACATGTCCATGTAGCTAATGCTTGATACTCAACAAAAACAACGATCTGTCCAACACCTAGTATCTACATCAACACTGACATCAGTACATCAGTGCTGTGTTGATTTGTCAACAAAGGACGAAACAGTTCTATCCACAGACACAGTACATTGTACTGTAGACCATCAGTATAATGACTACTGTATGTACGTGCACGCATACTTCCAAAGTGAAAGCATGCTTGAGTTGCAGGAGAGCGGCAGTGAATTTTTTGGAAGTCAGAGAGGCGTGCTCGCTTCGTTCGCCGTGCATGCGTGAGCATGTGAGACCACGCAAGCATTTTGTCGCAGGAGAGGTGCGACACCACTCCCGCAAAACCTTGTTGCTCCAGCGGATCCGCCACTGCATGTGGGACCGGGCCCTTATAAGTCAAGCTGTAATGGTGCCAGAGTCCAATACACCACACCACCACATTGCGCTCTTGGCCAATCCAAACTCTGCACACACATCACCATCACCACAGCGAGGACAATTCCGGTATATAGATTGATATTGACAATGACCCTCCAGACAGCTGTTTCGCTCCTCCTGAGCTCATCAGTGGAGGCATAATGATGTTGAATAGACTGATCTTTATAGGGCTAAATTGGCGCAATTGCGCTCATTCTGCAGAGAAACGTGGCATACCCTAAGTGACAAAAGTGAGAACAAGGTCAGGTGATAAAGGGAGTCTCAAGAAGAAGGCAAACACAGAACAACAACAAGAATGCGTAAAAATGTACTCATGTAGGCAGGCACAGTGGGTTGGTCTAAGACCATGATTGAGAAACGAGAGGTATTAGGTTCAAGTCCTGCTTGGAAGCGGAAGGATTTTGGTGTGTGTGTGTTTATGTGTGTGTGTGTATGTGTGCATGTGTGTGTGTGTGTGTGTGTGTGTGTGTGTGTGTGTGTGTGTGTGTGTGTGTGTGTGTGTGTGTGTGTGTGTGTGTGTGTGTGTGTGTGTGTGTGTGTGTGTGTGTGTGTGTGTGTGTCACACACCACACCACACACCACATACTCCGGCATGCACTGGCTGTTGGTAACCACCCAGGAGAATGAAAGAAAAGTCAGGAAGAGTCTGAGAAAGAGAAGAAAGACAACAAAAAAAACAAAACAAAAAATGAAACGACCAAAAAAAGGGATTCACTGGCCAGAAAATGTCACTCCAAATAGCTGTATGGTGTAGACCAGGCTGAATAGTGACGGTCAATTCTTCAGCCTTGCAAGCTGTTGAATGGTGTAATCCCAGCACAAGTTATTATGGCTTCTGCCGTAGCATTGCTATCATCGCCTCCGGCGATGGGCGTCAAAGGTCAAGGTCAAGGTGTGTGTGTGTGTGTGTGTGTGTGTGTGTGTGTGTGTGTGTGTGTGTGTGTGTGTGTGTGAGCATGCATGCATGAGTGTGTGTGTGGGTGCATTCGTGCGTGTGCATCAACATGTGTATGGCTGTGGGTATGTGTGTACATGTCTTGTCTTTAATTTGCTGCTACTTCCAGATTGGTTACACACCATTACATGATGCAGCACGGCGTGGTCATGTTTCCGTAGTAGAATGTCTTCTCACTTCTGGACATTCGTTGGAACCAAAGAATAATGTAAGTCAGATTATCCGTGATACATGCTCGTTTTTAAGAGCAGATTTTTTTTTTACTATTATTCACAAACCCAACTCGTAAAATAAATAATTATGTGGACAAAATACAAACAGCTACTGAGCAGGGGCTGCACTGGCCAGCTGTGATGGTGAGGTACCAGGGGCTCCACCGACCAAAGGTCTCGGCTTCAATGCCACAAGCACGCACCAGGAAAAAGAAACAGAAATGTAAAGCAAAGCTAGGTCTAGCTATGGGAAAGTAGAATGGGTAAAAGTACCCGTAGGTGTTTAGAAAAATAAAAACAAGATGAACATGGATTGTTTATTATCAGTGTTTGGACTGATGTACAATGTACATGTCAACTTCATTAACCAAAACTTATGAACCTTTTTAATAGATCTGATACGAAACTCGCGCAAAGAAGTGTAAAGAAAACAAGCTAAAAAACAGAAAAATAATAAAGCACCCATTTTGATAATCCAGGGGATGGCCCAAGCCTGGTAAAAGAATAAACAGAGAAAAGAAAAGAATCATAACAAGTTTTTTCCATGTATGCAAAACACAGCTGAGCACTCTGAGCAAGGCCAGGTACGCGGATTAGCGGGTCCGGCAAGCGACGAGCTCGAAAATTACAGGGAATTTGTTGCCCAGTACCAGTTGCTGTCTCTCAGGTGTCGGTAGGCCTTTGTCTTGAATGACTGAAAACATGTTTTGTGTGGGTGCTGCGACAGCAGCCTGTCAGGAAAGGAGTTCCATGCGCCAATACAGCAGTACGGCAACGACCGCTTCACGACGGATGGAGCTGAGACAGGGAGCGTGTCTGACAGTTGATAGGCGTGGCTAGTGGCATTATTGTGCTGGTTCCTGTTTCTGGGGTTGGCTGGAGAAACGCGATGCGGTGGCAATACAGCAAGTAGCGGAGGAGGACCAGTAATGAAATGCAATTTGGACATGCACAAGAGAGCAGCAACAGTCCGGCGGACAGCCAGACTGGGGAGAATTGCACCAGGGCCACTGATGCGCAGTGCTCGGCGTTGAGCATTATCCAGAAGTTGGATGTGGCTGGCTGGCGCGCCCATCCACACAAGCGGGGCATAATCCATCAGGGGCCTCACGAATGCCTTGTAGACAGTCGTTCGGCCAGCTGGCGTTAGAATGTGGGCCGCTCGTCGGAGAAAACCGCTGCTGGGCGCGGATGGTCACGGTCCTGAGGTGACTAGCGAAGGACAATTTGGAGTCAAATCGATCACCAAGCAGTGATATGCTGGTTTCCTCCGGTACAGGGGTACCACCAAACAGGATTTGAGGCAGCTCTAGGTCAGTGCGTCGGAGGGTAGCAGTCATAGCCTGTGACTTGGTGGGCTCGAAAGACACTTTCCACTGGCAACCCCACTCATGCAGGCGGTTTGTAGATACCTGCAAGGTGTGTGCAGCGTCCCGAGGGCACTGAGCTGAGGATACTAGACTGTATAGTGTCGTATCGTCTGCGTAGGCCTCAAGCTGAGCATGCCATCAAGAACATTGGCAGCGTCATTCATGTATATTAGAAACAACGTAGGGCCCAATATACTGCCTTGGGGCACCCCTGCAGAGATTGGGTAGAGAGAAGAAATCTGACCGCCGACTAAGCACTGGAGTGAACGGCCGTCAAGATAAGACGATAGCCAGCTATGGAGAGTGCCAGTAATGCCGAGCTGCCGGACCTTGTAGAGGAGGCCCACGTGGGAAACTCGGTCAAAGGCCCCGGCTATATCGACTGCGAGAATCCGTGCCGCGCCACCCTGGCCAACGATGTCCACCCAGGCGTTATGAAGCGCCTGTAGTGCGTCTGCCGTGCCGAGACCTCTACGGAACCCAACCTGGTGGGGAGTGAGGAGCTGCTGGCGCTCAAGATGGTTCATCAGTTGGCGATTGACAATAGTTTCCATTACTTTGGACATTATGCATAATAACGAGACTGGGCGGTAGTTCTTCAGAACAGAGCGCAAGGACCGTTTGTGGATCGGTACCACGTTGGCTGTCTTCCAAGATTCTGGTTGAACTCCACACCTGAAACAGAGAGCGAATAGCTGGGACAAAGGCTTCGCAAGTTCTTTGGCACACTCTTTCAGGACCCGGGCTGAAATGCCGTCAGGACCAGTCGCCTTTGATATATCGATTTGCGCTAGCAGACGGTAGACAGTGGCAGGGCGAAAATGAACGGCTGCGAGTGCCGGTGCTCCGGTTGCAACAAGGTTAGGTAAGTCGTCAGAAGTAAGATCCTGGCCAGTGACACTGCACTTCCTGGAGAAGAAGGTGGCAAAGGCCTCCGATTTCTCATGGCTTGTTGCCAACTCCCGTCCGCCCGCATAAACAATGAGAGGAATGTCCGTGTTACGTCCATCCCAACTAGCATACTTTAACTTGGTCCACCATTCTTTGTTCTTGAGTGAGCCAGTGGACAGGCTGTGACGGATACTGGCCTCTTTAGCTTCCTGGGATCGCCTTAGGATGTTGACGGCTGTGGTAACGGAGCGGAGGAAAGCTTGTTTGAGTGAAAGATCGTTCGGGTGTTTTCTCCAGGAACGCCAACGTTTGTCCTTTTCCCTCATAGCAGCTGTACATTCCGGTGTCCACCATTTTGGATCACTCGGTCTCGTGGTAAGTTCCTTAGATGGGACAAACCTGGCCATTGCGCCTCTGATAGTGGTGGTTACCCACCCGCTCACAGGAGGTGTCCGGGTCATCAGTTTATGATGTCGTGCCATGAAGAGTAGCGAACTAAAGCTCGGAGGTGATGCCAGTCTGCGCTCTTGTACCGCCAGACAGTTCGCTTTGCTGCAGGTTCGTGGCAAGGTAATATGCCTACGAAGTCGGATAGAACGATAACGTGGTCAGACCGCCCAAGACAGGGTGTGGCGGTTGTCAATACTGGGGAGTTGAAGGTAGATATCACGAGGTCAAGGGTATTGTCGCCACGAGTAGGAGTCTGAACATGCTGCGTAAGGAGGTGCGCGGCACAAGTGTCCTCAAGTACTTCGCCCGCCGGTGTGGTCTTAGAGCTGTTTAGCCAAGCACGGTTGTGAACGTTAAAGTCCCCAGCAAGAATGAGACTAGCGCCATGTTGACGGGCCAAAGGAAGGGTGTCGTCGAGATGATGGATAAGTGAGAGGTCACCGGGCCCGCAAGAACCCGGCCGGTAGACACCTCCCAGGACAATCTTGTGCCTGGCGCTGAGCTGGATGGATACCCACAAGACTTCATGCTGGGGGGCGGCCAGTTCAGCGATGATTAAGGCTGGGAGAGTAGATCGCACCCAGATTGCAACTCCACCACCGTGTGCTGTGCGGTCAAGCCTGAATGGAGGGCTATAGCCCGGGAATATCGTGTCCGACACTTGGACTTTCTCTGTTGTGAACTTTGTTTCGGTTACCACTGCGACGTCATGGTTGTGCTGTAGCAACGCGTGCTGGAAGTCGCCTAACTTGCTACTTAACCCGAACGCATTTGTGCACAAGAGGCGAAATGGAGCAACCATGGAAGAAAAAACAAGAAAAAAACGAAAAGCTAAAAAATACCAAAATGTAAACCTAGAGCTAAAGTTGTTATAAACAAAAAAAGTCCTGAACGTGTTTCTAAGATTTAAAAACGCCAAGTGTTCTGCTTGCTGCCAGCTGGACCCTTTCTCTTTTTCTTTCTTCCACGGACTTCGGTGAATTCGGCTTCAGCTGAGGGGGTGGTCGAGCTTCGCTGCCGTTTGCTGTTGGTGCCTGCTTTGCTGTTGCTCTTAGCGCAGTCAGCCAGTAGGGCCATTGCTCTGTCTTCGTCACTAGCAGGATCAGAGTGGGCCAGAGACGTGGTGGGGTCAGGCTGCGGTGGGGAGGGGGTGGAGGTTCCTCCATCTGACTCCTCAGCCCAGCTGCTGTCGGGGGACAGAGCTAGAGTGAAGTTGGGCTCTCCTTCAGTGCCTCCCACTGCGGCAGATTCGGGTTCCCTGGATGCATCCCTTTCGGCATCCGATCCTCCTGCAGCAGATGAGTCAGAGTACGGTTTGTCTGACCCCACACCACTAGCACTGGCAAGCTGGCGGTTGGCTGTCGTACCCGAGGGAGGCTGCTGATCCAATGAGCTTGGATTTCCCGCCTCTCGTCCTGCAACTCTTTCTGCATCCGACCCTCCTACAGCAGATGAGTCCTGTTTGTCTGACCCCACGCCACTGGCCAGTTGGCGGTTGGCTGGTGGACCCCGACCCCATGGCTTTGTCGTACTCCGTGTGTGGGTGAGGCGATTTGGACAGGCCTTTGCCTCATGTCCGCCTTGCTGACATCGAAAACATGTTTGCGTTTGACCTGGGTACCAAACCCGTACCGTGGTACTACCGGAACCTGTACGCACTGTAGACGGCAGGATCTTCTTCAAACTCAACCTTGCATGGCGGGTTCCCGTTTCGATTGAAAAATCACCATGCTCCACGATCTTTCTTGTTACTGGGCCATGAATATCTCCATATGCCCCCAAAGAACTTGCAACTGCTCCATCATGTAAATGCAATGGGCATCCAAATACCGATACTGTGATTACTTCACTGCCGCCCACAGTCACAGGTACAGCCTTACCGCTTATTGACAAGCCGGAGGATACAAGCCGGTCGCGTGCGGCTCCACAGGACAGTGCTACGAGGCACCAGCCAGGCTTCCCTTGTAAGTCCACCTGCTTCAGCTCAGCAGGGCTAACTCCATTTTTGGACAGTTCCTCTATATAGAAAACGTGATCTGACGGCCACTCAGGCTCACAAGGTAATATAGCGGAACGAGCAAACGAGAACAAGAACAATGAATTACGTATATGCATGATGTATATTAGGCACGTATTAATCATTGTTGTTTTTAGCTATTCTGCTTTGACCCTGTTTTATCACTACATTGCTGGACATAATTCATTGTGAAAAAGGAGAAGAACAAATTGTTCCGAGTTATTACTAACTGTGCACCAACGTAACCAGATCTTATACAGTCAGCGAG